TTTATATTGAGTACACTGAGAGGACCACACCATACTGGAAGTGCTCATCAACAAACAGCAAATAATAACCCAAAAGTGTCCCCTCTAATCGATAAAATCATCAGAATAATACATGCCTGGTCATTAAGAAATAGTTTAGAGTTGTAAAATGAAATAGGGAATAAATTGGATTTGGAGTGAATAAGCCTCTAGCGACTAAGAGACGTAAACTGGCACCAAAATAAATGCGATCAGACAACAGGCTAAAACAAATAGCAACTCATAAGTATAGGATGTTAATAATCGCAACCTAAGACTAGTTTAAGGTTGGCTACAATCAGGGCAACTTAGTCTCCTCATATGGCAATGTCACAATTCGGTTATTTTTATTTACTTATAAATAAGTACTGTTGAGTCTAGTTAGTTAGCATAAAATTTACTTTAATTGTTCTGACCTGATTCCTTTTAGCGAAGATCGGAGAGCTGGCTCTATCACAAACACGATAAGAAGAAATTTGGCTACAGCTAGATGAAGCTTCTAAATATTTATTTCGCAATTGAGACCACTCGGTGCAGGCCCAAGAGGTACCCTGAGTTCTATTTGTTGCTAGTGCAACGGCTACGGCCTCCTTGAGTTCGCGGCGCAACTGACAAGTCTTGCGGCCTAAATCGCGCACCCTGGCCTCAGCCATGGAGGCACGCCGATTAGCAGCAGATATTGCCATAGAAGAAGTACGGTTCGACTCGGAGAGTTCATATACCAGTCGCTTACATTCAAGCTTAAAGGAGAAGAATATTTTTTTAAATGAAAAGAAAACAAAATAAAAATACGTCAGCAACAGTCTAACCTTGGTAGATAAAAGATCGCGCTGAAGCCTAGTGATCATTTCTCCCATCTGCTGAAGTGTCGTAGCTCGGGTATTGACACTTGCCTCTAGTCGTCGGATCTCCTGATTAAAATTACAAGCCGTGATAAGATCCTCAGGCTTGAGCTCTGCTTCTATGACAAGGTATAATTAAAAAGTAGATCAATGCTTATTTATGGAAACAACAGGTTTGGATCTGAGCTAACTTTGATAGGAACTCGGGTTACCCAAGCTCGTTAAAAGTGACATAGGGACAGATAGTAAATAAGTAGTCCGACCATAAATATTAAAGAAGAGAAACCTGAATTTTCATGTGCCTTCAATTCCAGACCCAAACGAGGTCGAAACTCCAATACACTCTAGATAAGAAAGCATCTTTGTAAGTAATGTGAAATTAAGAGACACCATGAGGCCTAGTCACTAAAGCACGAGAAATTTAAATATAAGTTGTTAGATCACATTAAATGATCTAGGATGAATATAATACTTATTTAACGTATGCATCTCAATAGTCAAGAATTAAATTAAAAATAAATTTAAGGCTGTTAGCAAAGACTTGGATAAAAAAAGCCTAATAAAAGACTGATCTAATACATAATGTAATCCATAACATTGTTCTATAAATCGAAGATATGAAGACCAAGATGGTGTGGCCTTTTGTGTGGTCGCAGTCTCCTTTCGTTGTATA